GCTATCATGTTTTGATACAAATAGCAAGATGAGAAGTTGCAATAGAACGCATTCCCGTAGAGGACAATTTGGCTAGCCCATTCACCGAACCTTTGAGATGCAAGAAACATTGTAGGCTTTTGAAAGTCTAGGTGTTAGACGCATTGGTGATTGGCACTAGGCCAAGTGGGAGATTGTTAGTATATATGTCCTAGCGACAATCACTTTTTAGAGATATATGTACTTGATCACATTCAGTTTTATATATTTGATATATACGGTATTACACATTGATGATTAGGTATTTCGATTGCCAATATCTTATTCATAATTGTGTTCCCTTGGACTTATGTTGTCAATGAGTAAGTGGGAGCTTATATGATATAACATAAGGTCCTAAAATAGCCCCAATCAATGATCATCAAGAATGGGATATTGATGATATGCAATAAGATTGGTATGTGGACTGCATCATACTTTTAGAAAGTATAGTTGATCTCACAACTATGAGTCCCTGTAATTCATGATGGTCACATAGATATTTTAGAGAATATTGGCATACCCACCGAGAAACCATTTGATAAGTTCTATTCATGTGTCTATGGGATTATCGGCGTATAGAGTAGTGTAATAGTCCTCCGGCTTGAGGTCAATACGTACTACATGTGCGGAGTGATGTACTTTGACCATGACCAACGCTTGCACTCCAATCGGGGTAGATACGACATGTGTTGGGTGCATCACGAAGCACATGGAGTAGTAGTTGAGCCAAGAAAGGATTCATTCCTCATAATAGATTAAGAGAGAACATTCTACTTCTCATATCTAGATGGATCATAAAGTCATTGGCCAATGCAAAGATATATTCGTTTTGGATATCGAATATGATCGTTATGGATCATCTAGAAAGATTGAGAGACAGAGACTGAATTATTGGGATAGACACAATATCATGTTCTAGACTTAGTTGAATGTTCGTTGAATGAAAGGACCGTATCACTATGAGCTCTATATTACAGGGAGTTTGAATAGTCCTCGCAAACGTCCTTATATATTAAGTTTGTCTAGTAAATCGTCTACGGATTCTACTAAGACCTTAATTTGATTAGTGCTTAATATATAAGGCCCTATGGGTCACACAACAAGTGATTATACCTTCCGGTTGAACTGTTAGAAGGAATTAAATATTAATTGGATTAAATTATATTTAATTCGTAATACTGAAAATGGATTAAATATAATTAGATTAAACATATTTAATTCATGAAGTTGAAGGAGAGTTCTATTTGATAGAATTAATTAAGTAAAATACATTAGATTTATTATACTTAATTAAAGTGTATTTATAATTAAATAAGGTTGATATTTTCTTTTAATACATTTTGGAATTAGATTAAAAGAAAAATCAAAATAATAATAAATAATATAATAATAATATATAGAGAGTAAAGGTAGGGTAGCGGCTAAAGCCACTCCCTAGCATTCCTCTTATTGTGATTTTATTATTATTATTATTATTTATTATTTATATTATTTAATTAATATTTAATTAATAAATAAAATAAAATAAATAATGTAGTAAGGGTGGAAAGTGGCGTGCAGCCCACTTCCCCCCATATTATTGATTAGTTTGTTTTATTTATTTATTTGATTAAATAAATGAGATTGGTCCTAATTATATTAGATAGAACTCTTTAATGAATAAGACTTTCATTGTGATTGGGAAACTAGTTTAGAACTAGTATAAATACACCATTCTCCTTCATAATTTTGATAAGATTTTAGATTCAGTATTACCAGTTTATTTCCATGCGAAGAGATTTCCTAGCCTTTCTCTTAGGGAGATCTAACCGTTCTTTCGGAAAAGAGAAATCACGTGGATACCAAAGGTCAAGGATTATCACCGCTAGGCTGAAAGATCTGTAAGTTCTAACTCAGATCTGTTATTATTATCATATTCGTTATTTTGTCATAATCAGGGAAGATCTGTTTGGGAAAATTTTAAACTTTCGCTGCCGTACTTTTGAGGTACGTTACATCAATTTCCTAACACAACCATCATACACTCATATTCATAACATCTAAACATACACAATTTATTCATAAATTTGTATATCATGCATACTATACTTCTAATCAATAGTAGTTTTATTTAGGCATTATTTACCATTAACAACCCATGCACATCACATTTGTATTCACTTAGGAAATCCCATGAAATTAACCCAAAGATTATAAGTAACATAGTCGGTCATCCTCACCTTAATTAAGCTTAAGCGCGTTCTACGTTTCTCGATTGAACTTTGACTAGTTTCGGCGAACTTTGACAAACTCCGGCGAACTTTGACCAACTCCGGCGAACTTTGACCAACTCCGACGAAACTCCGGCGAAGCTCAAAAATACTTTAAATCAAGTTCCTAACAAGGTTTTATCATCACAAAACCCATATCAACACAAATAACCTATAAAAGGTCATTTTCTGGCAAACCGGTCGATTTGGCTTCTAAGTCCGTTCTTGGACATAGAACCACTTTCCAACCCATAAATCCATACTTAGAACATGGAGAACCATCCCAAGGGTTCTTCATATAATAAATATTCCTCATGGTAGAAGAAAAATAAAGGGAAAGCTATGGCAAGGTGATTACCTCAATTTCCACACCTTCCTACACCTTTTTCCTTCTCCAAACACTCCTCCTTGGATCCTCCACCTTGAGCTCGAATTTGAGTGTGAAAATGAGGAGTTTCAGAGCCCCTCCTTGCTATCCTAGGGTGCTGAATCGTGTGGGTGGAGATGGTGAGGTGAGAGGGGTGGTTTTTGTCTCATTTAGACAAATGAGTGAAGGGAGGGGGTCTACTACATGTCAAGGGTGTCTCCCCCATCCTCTCAATTGTTGTTCAGCCATCTTAGCACCCATCCAGCCCCCAAGGGTTGACAAATTCGTGGGGTGGCCCCCACCTATGTGGGAGGTCATCCTAATTTGTCCCAAAGTGTACAATTTGCCCCGAAAGTTGTATTTTCCGGACTGTTTTAGATATATTTTATTTTATCGGGTTAAATAAATATATTACGTGTTCTTAATCATTATACTATTTAGAATGAATATGCATTCCCCAACTTTAATTTATAAGTCTCCAAAATCCAATTTTGGGCTTTTATCTGATAAATTTATCGATACCGGTATTTGGGCCTTCATTGACCAATCGGTCAACTCTGGGCCTTTCCATGGCCCAAATGAAGTATCCAACAACTATAAATATTTTTTAGACCCAGATGAATATAATATGTGGTCCCGATAATATCGGGCGGTCCCCACTCCCGATGTGGGCCCCACGTGCATCTACTATTCACGCGAAAAAAAGTAATACAAATTCACAACCTCGTAAATTCACAAAAATTTCATAGGGTTCAATAAATTATTCGCTTAAAGATAAATATATTTGGGGACGGTGTTACACTAGTCCTCCCATTCAAATCATCTTTGCATTATTTGTATTGCACGTTGAAGTTCAAAGTGTTTCATAATATTCTAGCCAGAAAATAACAATTTCATATTTACATTATTTGTATTGCATATTGAAATTCAAAGAGTGTATCTTTACATTATTTGTAGGTTACTGCATTTGTACATTATTTGTAGGTTACTGCATTGTAGGGTTCAAATACAAAGAGGTCTTCCCATGCAAAGTGAGAATTAATCTCATGCATTCATTTTGAGATCTAATGGCTCAAAATGAGCCAAAAGTGAACTAAATTTGATCAAAAATGAGGTGGCAATTTCGTAATTAAAACGAAGTTTTTTGCCATCACGAAAAAGTGCAACAGAAACACGCAAAAGTGCAACGCGGTGAAGAAAAAGTGCAATTGTTCGCACTTTGCACGGGAGAACCACTTTTTAATTGATCTCTCCCCTATATATATATATATATATATATATATATATATATATATATATATATATATATATATATATATATATATATATATATATATATATATATATATATAGGAAAATTATCATGTCCAGCACCTCCCAGTCCGAACGTCGTCCGAACACCGCCGTTTGGGGTGGTTCCCGGTGGCATTTTTTGATAAAATTTTTTGAGCATGTGCCTCATCAAGTCTAGTTTATCCATACCAAATTTCAGCTCAAAATTCGATCGGGAAGGCAGTCAAATAATTCATTGAAGTTAACTGCGTTTTACTATGTATAATTTAGCGCAGTTAACTTCAACGAATTATTTGTCTGCCTTCCTGATCGAATTTTGAGCTTAAATTTGGTATGGATAAACTAGACTTGATGAGGATCTTGCTCAAAAAATTTAATCAAAAAATTCCGACGGGAACCGCCCCAAACAGCGGTGTTCGGACAGAAAAGTGCTGGACAAGAGAATGACTATATATATATATATATATATATATATATATATATATATATATATATATATATATATATATATATATATATATATATATATATATATATATATATATATATATAGGGTTGGGTTCTAATAAGAAGACATCTACATTTTAACGTGAGAAGTGAGAAGCTTCACATTTACCTGTTGTTGATGCACATTTTCGCTAATCTGATGCACTTTTTGCGATGACAGAAAAGTTCTGATTAATTACGGATATGTCACCGCGTCTAGCGTCACTTTTTTAATATTTTTTGCACTTACCCGTGCACTTTTTTGTTAATCTGATGCACATATCTTAAAATGAACGCACCATATGCATTCTCACTTCTTACGATAATCACTCTTCTTATTTGATCCTTATTCTACGGACGGCACGGATCAACAATAATACCCGGACCCGCCCCATTGTATAGGCGGGGCGGGGCGGACCCGCCCTATTTGCAAGACAGGACGGGTTGGACCCGTCCCAAATGTCTCGGACCAGAGTGGGTCATTGCGGACCGGTTTTTTTTGACATCCCTAGGTGTCATGTTGCAAAAAATAGTAAGTAGTGAAAATAGAAACCGTACACTGGTTCATCAGTCAGAACAAGTGCCTCAAGAACATTCATCTTGCTTTTTTACATTTTGTTTCTAAAATATCTTGAAAACATTCGAGTAAGAAAACATATACTCTCTGTCCCATTGGACTTTGACTACTTTCCTATTAAAGCAACTAATTTATGGTTCTGCATATTTCTCTCTCCTCTCACAAATTTTTACTATTATTATTTCTCAGCTACTTTGCACTAGACAAAGTCCGCTGGAACGGAGGTAGTAATAATATTGAAAAAACAATATGAAGAAAGGGAGATCAACAAATCTTAATTAAGTCCGTTTCCTGTCTTGAAAGCTTCCATCTCCCCCAACCCAACTGAACCTCTCACCTTTGGATATCCCACGTGACTTCATCAGTGCTCTAACCTCACCCACACCATCCTATTTTCCCACTTCCACAAAAGTATTTGATAGCTCAACATATGCGCGGGGCCAACCATTCCCGCTTAAATTGAACAGTTCATTAGCAACTAAGTTGGTGATCTCCACGTCTCAATGTAGTCTTCCAGATCTAAGCAATGCAGCCCAAACATCAGAGTTGGGCTTCTCGGGCACATCTATGAAACACTGCAAAGCCTGGTTTAGACTTCCAGCCCGACCCAACAAATCAACCATGCATGCACTGTGCTCCATTCTTGGCTTCATCCAATAGTCCTTCGCCATCCTGGCAAAGATGGACTTCCCTTTGGATACTAGCCCGGGATGTGCACATGCTGAGAGAGCATTCGAATCAGACTTGGGGTACACACTTTGTGTACAACTCTTACACGCTCATGTCTGTGAGGCGTTTTTTTATGTTTGTCCCAGACAAAACGTATTTTTCAAATACGTTTTGTCTGAGACAAACATAAAAAAGACCTTCACAGACATGAGTGTGTACCAATAGATTTTTTCGTTGAAAGAAGTTAATCTTAACTACTTGCCCTTGGACTGGCAAATTGACTTCAAACGCAACTAGAGCAGAGCAAGCCCCGGTCAGGCTTGCAAATGTGGAAAGTGTGGGGTTAAATCCCAATCTTTTCATGTGGATGTAACACTCAATTGCTTTTTTGGCGGTTTTGATGGATTTGCTATAGTCTTCAATCATTGCATTGAAAACAACATCGTCTTTTGTGAGCGTTTTCTTGAACACATCTTCTGCACCATCCATGTTTCCTTGATTCATATAACCGGTAATCATTGAGGTAGAGCACACAAAGTTGTCTTCCCGCATTTAATCAAACACTCTCTGGGCGTAGTGTAGCCTTCTGTTCTTAACGTACGAGTCGACCAACACTGTACAAAGCACACCATCACCTTCAACCCCAGACCTTATAATCTTGGTGTGAATCTGTGTCGGTCCCAAGCAACCTTGCAATCCTGCTTCATCCAAACAAGTTGAGGCTTTTAAGATCATAAAAAATGTGAACCCATCAATTTTTTCACAGAAAAGCTCTGTTTTCTAACTAAATCATAAGATTATTGTACTAGCCCGTTTCTTAGCCGAGAGTGTTAGTTGGGGCAAATCATCGCATGCATAAGTGATTGAGGATGATTTGATGTGAAGAATTATGAGCTTGATGGAGATATTGATATTGGGTTAGCCACCAGTTTTTACTTTTTAGGATGTGGGAATTGACCGTGTGAAGGGTGGTCTGAATTGATGTACTGTTGTAAAGCATAGGGTAGATGATTTAGAGATGGTGGATAGGACAGGGGTTTACTCTCTGTTGGCGAGACCGAAGTATTTAATTTGATTATAAATAGAATACTCACTCATTATATTGTTTCCTACAATAGAGTTTGACACAGTTTTCGTTTAAGGGAAAAAATAGTTGAAGTAGTTAATAGTGTAGAAAAAGTAGGAGAGAGCGTAAAAGCATGAAACAACATATGAAAAGTAGAAAGGAAAAGGTAATTAAATATTTTTTAAGGGAAGCATATCAAAAAGAAAATGTAGCAAAAAGTACTTGCCCCAAAAGGAAAGTATGATAAACGAAAAATTACAGAGGAAATACACAGGAAACTTATATCAAAACTTCAAATCCAAGCCGTTTTACTATTCAAAAAACATGAAGTTTTTAATCACTTAATTTTTTGAACATCTTAGCAGCTTGGTTACAACTTATTAGCTTTTAACTTACAAGTTATTACTGTTGATTTGTTAATTCTTACATTTTGAATGTCAAAGTTCAAATAGTATAGCCATTGGGGTGTTTAGTGAAACATTTTGTTGGTTAAATTCTATTTATCTAACTCTAATAAATAGATCATTTCGTAAATAATGCACAAATTTTCATCACTCAAATTTTAAATGTTAAAAAACAACCAGGGACTAGACCAGGACCGAGACCTGGGCTGACCGAACCGGAAACCCCCCCCCCCCCCCCGGTACCTGTCTCAGTCCCCCCATCCCCAGGACCAGCCAGTCCGGGACGAGAAATGGCCTGGAACCAGACCAGGCTCGTCTCTACAGGCAAAATGTATAATGATGGTTACTGAGTGGAACCTTTGACCATTTCGTTGTTTCAATTTTTTTAGCTTGATATACATCATCATAATCATAATATGTAGTATATATATGTAGGTTGTAGCAATCCATGTTTTGCCAAATATACAAACTTGGGCTGCTATTTATCATTGATTGTACATCACCTCTTGGGACCCCGGTTTTCTGTTGTCCAAATCATCCTCATCGACAGGATATTCATAGTCAGGAGGTGGCCGCTTCAACTTCTGAAATATTTCATCCAGGGACTCAGACGAGGAGAGGCGAGCAGTGGCATCTTGAGACTGACGTAACGGGATGAAGTCGCTAACCTGACGCAATGGGGTGAACCTCTTTGCTTCCATGTTAGTTTTGAAGTTCTGGAGACCAGCCTTCATTGACGCCCATCTCGCAGCCAAACCAGATGAGCCTTTTCCAATGGGATCGGGTGGCCCAGTATCAAGCAGAGAGACTTTTGCAGAGGGGTTGCTCTGTTCCTTAAGGGAGGCAGCATATTTGTTGGTGATGGCCTCCTTGCTCCCAGAGGAGTATCTTCGAACTTCAGTTTTAGAGAGTCTTGAAGAGCTTCCCTTCAAATCATCATGATCATTGTTAGGTGTCTTCATCTCAACAACGCTCCTATCCTGAAAGATTTCTGTGTGGTTTAATATGTGAATATGTGTTCATACTCTTCAAAGTCCTGAGAAGTTCATAGTCAGGGACTACTAATTTTGATGCAGGCATTACATACAACCACAAATACTCTTGACGCTAAGATCTTGCTTGACGAAGTCTAAAATGGAAAAAGTGCTCTAGTTGTGGCTGAATTGTCGCAATTTGTTGTACTATCCAAATTATCTGATTCAGTTATGATTCTTTAATAAATTAAAGAAAGTCATAAAAAAGAAGGTTGAAGTGTCATCTTTATTAGTTTCAGACTTTCAGTCATTCCAACAAAACTAAAGTACTACATACATTTTTTGTTAATTGCTGTCATTCTAACAAAAGAAAAGCAATTTCTTCACTGCTATTTTTTGTCCCTGATTCGCCAATAAGTTCTTGTTGGCGAGACATATTTGGCCTGATAGGCTAAAAAAAGCCTGCTGAACAGGCACTACGTTTGCAAAACCGTTCGATGATGGTAAGAAAGTCTGAAATTGCTGAAGTTCCTGAAACATTTTGTTATTAAAAATTGATATTCATATCTTAAACACAAATAGCTTTTTACTTTTCCAAACTTATGCATCCCATTTTCATTTCTTAAAAAAATCAAACTTAGAAATTACTAATCAACATCACCTTTCTTAAAAACCATATCATACATTTTGGAATGGAGGGAGTGTCTAAAAACGAAGATAAAAGTGTCATTCTTTTCATTTCTTCCCAAAAAATGTAACTTCTCCATCACTTTATCATCAACAGTTCCAACAAGGGCAGTGAAACAAGTAAGTGTTTTCGGTAAAAAAAACTCCCTAACGAGCAGAAAATATCTCTGCCAGACGGGTACCAACATGAAGAAATAACTTACTTTGTCATTCCCTCCCGACTCCAAATCAATGCTTGTTGTTGTGCCATTGAAATTCCTTGCCAAGGGAAGAACATGTTCACCAATTTTCCTTCCCTCTTCTAGCCAGCTTCTCTCTGTAAAATTCCATACAAAACAGAAAAATGAATGACAAGAAAAGCCCACAAAATAGATACAACCACAACTGTTTGCCTACCTTTCTGCAAGATTAGTAATCCTGATGGATCAAAACCATCCAGGTCATCTGCTTCTGATTGGTAGAATCTAAATATCTTCCAGTTTCCGAAAAAGCTGATGATTCTGTCAAAGAAATTGCTGGCGACCAGCAGTGTGTATATCACCATAATTAGGGGATAGATTCTGTTGAATCCTTTCCCAAAGAAAGGTACTGCATCATCGATGTTTCCCATTCGCTGCAACCATATAGAAATTCACAATCAAGGAAAATAATAAGAATATGGCTGCTGTAAAATCCATGTCATCACCACCTTTACCTCACCTGGATGGGGTTGATGGCAGAAAACCTAAAATGTAAAATAAATAACTAGAGTTCCTTAACACTAATTCATACAATGAAAGCAATGGTGGCAAAATTTAACACCGGGTAGTGCAACAATGAATAATGCAATGAAATTACAAAATGATCATCACCATAAGTTAATTCTATTTGCAATTAAAATATCATGAATATAGTCATGTTCTATTACAAAATTGATATTGTGAAATTAGTCTGCAATCAATGCAACATAGCAGCTTGACCAAATATAAGAAAGCTGCAGGTTAGGATTTAGAACTATTCTTATAATTAGAGCCTTTCAATTAGTAGCTTGGGTTGATTAATCTTTGTTAATATATGACCCAATACACTCAAATATCATTAAGGGCAGTGTTGTCAATCCCGGATAGGGGAGTGTAGAGGCCAGCACCGAAAACGCTATAGCGGTATAGCGGATAGCGGGATTACCGCTATTCAGACTACTTTCAAGTATAATGCATAATTAACTAGAAGCATATATAATTACATTACATACACATTAGTGAAGTATATGATATATGCCATTGAAAGTTGCAAACATCTTACTGTTCTTAAATACTACTCCCTCCGTCCCTTACAACTTTGCCATCTTTCTTTTTTTTGGACATCCCAAAAAACTTTGTCACTTTCCGTTTTAATCAATTATTGTGTGGTTCCTGTTATTTCTCTCCTCTACACAAACTTTAACCACACTTTTTACTTTATTATTCTCCGTGCCGGTCAAACTTGGCAAAGTTTTAAGGGACAGAGGTAGTAAATTACTGGGAAATATTCCTTAGTTTCATGAGCAAAACATACAAGGCTATTAATTAATGATTAAAACATCTTAAGTTAAAGCATTGAATAAAAAACGAGTCCCTGGTTTAAGCCTTGATAAATTAAGTCTATCAGTCTACCACTGGAAAGAAACAAAGAGGAGTGTAGTGTGTGTCTTTCTTGTACAAGATGAAGGAGCACAGGTCGTTCTTGTAAAAAATGGAGTGAAGGTCGTTCTTGAAAAAGACAGAGCAGAAATTTTGAAGCAGAGGTCATCGCAGAGCAGAGAGAAGAAAAGACATAACGGATTATTTTTCTATTTTTAAAACAAGGAGCCATTTTTAAGAGTTTCTACACTTCTGCGAGCGTGTACCAGGGTTTTAAGTGGCTTACTATTTCATTTTAAAAGTCAACTTTACCCCTGTCCATCTGCAGGGCAAAAATGCAGAAAAACCCTAGAAGACCTTCAATCGCAAAAAAGTGCCGTCCACCCCTCTACCTGTATAGCGCCCGCTATAGCGCCCGCTATGTCCCACACCCAATTGCCCGGCTACAGGAGGTCTAGTAGCACCAGACCTCTCCTCTGCTCCGCTCCACCGCTATAGCGTGCGATTGACATCACTGATTAAGGGTAGCTGTCCAGCAGCTTATATGCTAGATCTGTCCATAATGGCCCATAATACAACAGATGAACAGCGTACGTCATCTAGACTACTCTATTAGAACAGACCTTTTTTTAGTTAAAGCCCATTCTCCTCTTACTACAAAAAACCTAAAAAAATTTAAAATGAAATTTGTATGAACATATTCAATTTAAAGTAATGAATTTGAAAGAAGTGTAAGGTTTAATGTATTAAATTAGGGTTAACACAGTTGAATGGTGAGAAATCCTTCTCTGTTTTCTGTATATCATCCTTGAATCATGTACATGTATATATATACTAAAACTACCATAGATCTTCACAGATTAACTTCCTATTTAGTAAAGACAAAATAAATCTAAATAGTAAAGACAGAATAAATCTAATTATGGTAAACTAGATATACACGGAAGGCATAAATGGAAATGACATCACTAGGTTTAAAACAGGTCTTTTACGGGCTATTAAGAGATTAAAGGAATCAACTTCTCATACGGCACTACCACTAACAATTGAACTCAATGGAGATGTTTGTTCAGATATTGAGATAGTTAATCTTATTATTGATCGTATAGACAGAAGTTGTTACAAATCACAATGCTAGGGAGCTCACTATCTCAGATGCCTAAGTGCATGCTGATTTAGTAAGTTCTAGTTGTATGGTCGGTCGATACATTGGGCTTCTCTCATACTACACCCCCTTTGGATACTTCTCATCCATGTGCCGCATTAGACTCTTCTATTTCAGAATTAAAGTTATTTTTCCAAGATGTAATGAATTTGAGTGTGACTAATTTGTCTACCTTTCTGTCCAAAGAATATGAGCGTATATCACACCTTTATGCGAATCATGGAGGGAATAATGATCAATTTATTTCAGATAAGGATAGACTTGTTGATGACCACCGGGTGCTAATAAGAGGGGTGCAGATAAGGGAGATGGTGATGAGAGGGGTGACAAGTTTAGCACTAGTTTCAAAGTAGCTCAAGTTGACTTGCTTTTTGACGTGTCAAAACCCAGCTCAAGGGGTATCTTCTTAGGTCACACTTCAGAGAACAAAAAGCGGACCCCTATATCAACAGTGGACAACTTTTTGGATTCTGACACCAATCAAGATATCTGTAATAAGACATTGTTGGTCACAAGGGATAATTGTTTGCCTACGGATAATATGAACATCCAGATAAAAACTTACAGAAAGGAATCAACATTCACACCATATGAGGACGTGATCTCAAACTCGCGCTGAGCGCTTAGGTTTATCACTGCAGACTTAGGGAGCTAGGGTTTGTTTTAGACAAGACATCTTTATACTTGTGGGGCTGGAGCTGGGCTTTGGTCTTTTCATCTCTTTTATTTTGTCTTTTTTTCCTTGTAATTTTTCTTGTTCCGTTATCATTAATAAAGTACTACCTCCGTCCCAAAAAGATTGGCCAATTTGACTTTTCTTGGTCAATGGTGTTAAAGTTTAGACAATGATTTTAGGTATTAAGTTTGTGTGTGATTTAAAAATTTAATACTTTTATGAAAAAAATTAATAAAGAATTTGCTCATATAATTTTCATATTTTAAATAAATTATATTAAAAATATCATTGGTCAAACTTTTTGGGCCAAGAGAGTGTATTTCTTTTCTTAGAAAAATGTAAACAAACATTTATATTTTGGATTACTTCACATCATCTACAAATTATTTAACTAGTGTGTCTGTTATTTAATATCGTTTGATGTTAAAAAAACACGAAAATAATATATTCTTCGACACTCCCCCTCAAGCTTGGTATAGATGTTAATCAATCCAAGCTTGCTGGATAAGAACCGAAATGTGTCACGTCCGAGATGAACTGTCTATCAACTTCAACATGCTTAGTTTGACCATGATGGAAAGGATTCTTCACAATGCTGATTGACTATCTGATAAGAAATGAATTGGCCCTGCTGATCCAATCTTCAATTCGTTCAACACCCGTCTTATCCATATTCCCTCACGTATGCCTAGAGCAAGAGCCATGTATTCGGCTTCAGCGCTACTTCGTGCCACCACATCTTGTTTCTTACTCCTCCATGTTATAAGATTTCCCCAGACATAGCTGACCTTCTATCACTTAACTCTCCAGCCCAACTGACATCTATATATATAGTAATGTCCCAAACTCCAGTCTTCTTGAAGTGTATACCCTCACCAGGAGTACTCTTCAAGTACTTAAGGACTCTAACCACCATTTCCATGTGTTCCTCGTTTGGAGCATGCATGTTTTGGCTAACAATTCCAACACATGCATGTGAAAGGTTGTATACCCTGACCAGGAGTACTCTTCAAGTACTTAAGGATTCTAACCACCATTTCCATGTGTTCCTCGTTTGGAGCATGCATGTGTTGGCTAACAATTCCAACATATGCATGTGAAAGGTATATCAACCGGCCTACCCGTGGAACATCTTCAGTTGCACTTAGCTTTTTGTTATGCTCCATTGGCGTGTCCACTGGTTTGCAATTTGTCATGTAAGAGTCATTCAGTAAAAGATGGACTTCTGTAAGAAATGACTATTCCCTTGTTTGATCTGATAATTTCAATTCTGAGAGAATACTTTGGACTACCAATATCTTTGATTTCAAACTCTTTGGCAAGATGATCTTTGAGAAATTGTATTTCTTCAGTGTCATCTCCCGTTATAATAATGCCATCGACATATACAATGAGGATTGCCACCTTCCCTTAGATTCGAATGCTTTATGAAGAGTGTACTATCAGTGTGGCGTTGATAATACCCCCCTCTATGACAGCCTTAACAAATCATTCAAACCACGCTCTTGGAGACTGTTTCAGGCCATACAAAGCTCTCTTTAACTTGCACACCATTCCACTCCTTAGATGGTGAATTCCTTGTGCAAGACTCATGTGGACCTCTTCTTCTAAGTCACTGTTCAGTAATGCATTTTTTACATCAACCTGGTACAGTGGCTAGTCTAAGTTCACTACAAGAGATAGCAGTACACGTACCATTTTGAGTTTTGCAATAGCAGTACACGTACCATTTAAAGTCAGCAATATTCTTACCATTCGGCTGACGAACATTTCTCTTCTTCTGTAGTTCTGTTCCCCTCCAATGCGTGAATTTCTTTCATCACTGCTTTCTTCCATTCAGGCGATTTCAGAGCCTCATGAATGTTGTTTAGCACAGTAACATTATCAATCGTCATTGTAAGAGCTCTGTGAGTATCGCTTACCCGCTGAGACGATCATAGCTCAATTGGTTCCCAATTGGATATATTGTGCCGCTACCTATTCCTTTCCTTAGGGCTACAGGAGCTTCATTTTCTCCCTCCATCGTTTGAACCAGGCTTTCAGCTTCATCTTTGTTCTTCCTTCTTTGATACACGAGTAGTGGTTTCACCACTTGGTCATAGAACTACTTGATCCGGACTACTATCTAAGCTAGCTATAATATGAGCACTTGTAGACTTAGAACTAGACTCCTCAGGTTTCTGCGCTGTTCCTCAAAAAATGTATAGGCCATCATGAACCTCACCACTGTCAAGGATCATTCTCGTTCACTCTTCCTGTAACACATAATGAGGAGAACTAAACTTAACTTCACACCCTAAATCATGAATAACTTGGCGGATAGATGACAGATTGCAGTTCAGTTTTGGCACATAAAGGACAGGAAACAAGGTGAGATTCTTAATGACATTAACTAAACCAATTCCAGCTGAGATGCTAAGGTACCATCAGCAATCCTAACCCCTGTATTATGAGGGTAGGACTGCATGTTCTGAATGAGGTTTAAGTTCCCAATCATATTATCAGTTGCCCTGGAGTCAAGTATCCAAACATTTGTGTGATGAGTATGTGAGACAAGGGCACTAGGTATGGTACCTGAGAACTTGAGAAAACATCTTTTGTAGAGCATCAAGCTGCCCTTTTAAGAATAGAGGTTCCTCTTTCTTACTTCGCATTCGCATGAGGCTTATGCTGACCCATTCTCAAGTTTTAGTCTGGGGGTTCTCCGACTATCTCCCAACATTTTCTTCTTAGTGTGGTGGGGAAGGCGACAGTGTTCACACCATTTGATTTAGTTTCAGCAAGCATAAGCCTTCTACGATCCTCTTCCAGAAGCATTTCTGTGAAGGCATTCTTTAAGCTAGGAAATGGTTTTGTCCCCATTACCCAGCTTTTGGCCACATCCAGTTCTTGTCGTAGCCCGAGAAGCATCTGAACGAACGTGCGCAAAGTTTTGGCATCCGTAATAGTTTCCCAGTCTCGAGCCTCGTATAGGTCCAGTTCGAGCCATGTCCAGTTTGTTGTAATACTCGGTTGCACTCATCTCTCCTTATTTAAAATTGAACAATGTTTGTTCAAATGCAAACAATGCAGACGAGTTGTCTTGAGTAGAATAGGTCTCCTTTTACATCGCTCCATAAGTCCTTGTCACATTGATGTAGAAGATAGTTGTCTCCGATATCTGGCTCCATGGTTGAGATGAGATTAGCCAGAATCGGACTTGATTGTTGTCGTTGTCCCACTTAGTGAAAGCTTCAAAGTCAAAATCTACTGGTTTGGCTGCTACTCCAGTCAAGTATTCCCCTTTTTGCTTTCCTGTGATAAAAATACGTACAGATTGAGACCACTGAAGGTAATTCTTTTCGGTAAATTTCTGTACTGATATTACACCAATCCCTTGGTCAGAGTTCATTCCATTGTTGCTTGTTACCACCTTGGTAGTGTTGGAAACAACAGAGTTGTGTTCTGAATTAACTTCATAATTTTCAGAAGTAGGAGATTTAGGAGAAAAGAAGAGTTGGCACTGGTCATGACAGTCTCGAAGCAATTTCACCGGCGGCGGCAGCAGAGAGGCTAACCAGCAGCTCCGATACCATGTTAAATTAGGGTTAACACAGTGGAATGGTGAGAAATCCTTCTCTGTTTTCTGTATATCATCCTTGAATCATGTACATGTATATATATACTAAAACTACCATAGAGACCTGCCTTATTTAGGAGATCTTCATAGATTAATTTCCTATTTAGTAATGACAGAATAAATCTAATTAGTAATAACAGAATAAATCTAATTATGGTAAACTGGATATACACGGCAATAATACATTCTACAACACATGGACTTGTATTTAAGTTTGGAAATGAAACGAGAGTGAGGAAATGCTAGTATCAAGCTACCATCAATCTTGACCAAGTGAAAATGTTATGGGACAACATAAATGGTATAACAAGACTCACCTTCTCAAAAATGGTTTTCTCTCCACCATCAAGACTAATGAGGTTAAGAAAATTATAAGAAATTGGGGGTGCATAACGAGCGACCATCCTGTAAAGAATCAATGTTATAATCTTCTTTACTAACACTTGGATGGAAGCTTGAATTGAGTTATTAACAAAGTTAAAATATATACATACGAGCATATCATTAGCAATCCTACTGCACTTGTTTGCCTTGGTGTCAAAGAATAGAACATCAGCATTCCCGCTTTGAACAGCGAATAATATGTGCACAGACACATGTACATCAGTGGAACAAAAGCAAACACCTATAGACAGTTTACATTGGTGAATTTTGCAGTCAGGGTATAAAAGGAATTAAGTGAATGTATTTATTATTCATCTTTTGCATAAGTAAATGTATTTTTAATTCATTATATACAAAAATAAATGTACAAAATATTAGAATCCATTTTCAAATGGAGCAACTTGCATGCGCCAGAAGCCATGTGATCATATCTTGACCAGATGCAGGATATGGATATCAGTGCTTATCAGCACAATTTAATGCAATGAATATGGACAATCATCAACCTACCTGAACAAGAACCTCTTGGTTCCCGACAGATTTTATGAGAATAGAAAAAATTGATAAATCAACTCCTCTGGGCAATAAAGTTGCTTCAGCCAATAGAATTGCAGCTGACATGCAACCAAGCATGATACTTGAGACTTTCTCCAATTGCTTACGAAGGATGCATCTCCAAATCAATTCTACAGTTCAGAAATAAAATCATATAATCATTCTCTGGAAGTTGAACCAAATCAATTTGTTTCACTAGAGAAGTTTGAATTGGAAACTAACAAAAGATTGCTAGACAATTGAGAAAAACTACTGCAATGTTTGGTAGGGTGTGGTGACCATTATGTCGAATCCAGAAACATATTGCATTGTCGGGATACCTGTTGTATCTAAAAAGGATCCTAATGTCCCAATCCGTTCAGGCCTCAGGCTAGAAACAAATCTCCTGCATGACATATTTGACATTTAATGGCATCTATAGTAAAGAAACCTGAAGCTTAATCGAACATGATAGAATGATGCAAAAGGGATCGACAAATTTGTGTTCCAACAAGATGGATGCTTCAACTAACCAAAAGGGTATACTTGTCCTAAAAGTATCAGATAAAACAGTGATTATCCCCCACATGGGAGGAGGTAGGGGATTATATTCTTGGTTACCCTTCATCGAAAGACTTTAGGTTGCTATTGGACCATGAGAGTAGCCACTAGGAACTTTCAGTACTCCCTTGACCATAAGAGTGGATAGAAACTTGTACCTATGGTTGCATGAATACTTTTCCAAGCTCCACATTTTGATCTCTTATCCTTGATCATATGATTGTTCCTTATATGCTCCCACTTCTCTTCTTGTTTAATTGTTTATTTGCTTTCATTCATATTTAGTTGTTCTCTTAAAACAATCACCTTTCGACTTGATTAGCTTACGTGTTGGATACTTGGATTGACTTCAAACATGATTCTTTATATACATTGTCCCGTGAAACAATATTCAAGACTTTCACATCTCAATCCCCGATGAGCATTGTTATGAAATTGATTCATCAGAATGTCACTGTGAGGCTATTTGTGTGTACTCTCTTTACATGATATATACTTGCTGTCAAAAATGGAGTACAATGCTAAAGATGTCATACTTGACTTGTAGTATATTTCTGGTCGTGTTTTATTAGGTTCTTTTTTTGTGGATGGGGGGCAATGCTATGTAGGTGCGTGCTGTGGCACCATGTTGGAAAAAAATAGTATGGAGTTAAAGCACAAACCATCCAGTAGCATCTCGTCGTTCATAATTCTTTATTGTATCTTCCAATTCAAGAGCCTCAGTGACATATGTTCTGTACTCGCTGCAAATGAGATAAATATAAGGTTTCTATCCGAAGTCCGAACAAGTAGAACAATGAGAGCGAAAAAAACAAAGCCAATGCTGTAAAGAGTGGTCGGTTATTGAGTATCCATGGTTTCATGCTTGTTTGAATATATTTAAAGCTATTTGCTATAATATAGCTCATGGTTGGGGGGTTACAATGTCAAATTTATTTAATTTCAGTGGTTTCATGTTTGCTTTTTTACCCAAAAGTGTGTTGTTTTTGCTTAAACGTCCGCATATATACAGATTCCTTAGTCTCCGTATGATAGACATAAATATATAAAACGAGTGTAAAACAATTTACAATAAATTTATTGACTTTTAGTCTTTTAGATCTACCTATTTGTTTCTACCACATTTTCTTTCCTTCCTATATTCTTCTATACTTTTTTCCTGTAATATTTCACTAGTACTTTCCAGGATTCGAATGGACCCTAAGACATTACAAAGATTCAAACAATCGACCATTGACAGATATGACTTATGAGGCAGCAAATGTGAACAGCTAACCTCACTGAATATATTTAAAGCTATTTGCTATAATATAGCTCATGGTTGGGGGGTTACAATGTCAAATTTATTTAATTTCAGTGGTTTCATGTTTGCTTTTTTACCCAAAAGTGTGTTGTTTTTGCAAACATCCACATATCTACAGATTCCTTAGTCTCCGTATGATAGACATAAATATATAAAACGAGTATAATACAATTTACAATAAATTTATTGACTTTTATTCTTTTAGATCTACCTATTTGTTTCTACCACATTTTCTTTCCTTCCTATATTTTTCTATACTTTTTTTCATACTACGTATAATATTTCACTAGTACTTTCCAGGATTCGAATGGACTCTAAGACATTACAAAGATTCAAACAATCGACCATTGACAGATATGACTTATGAGGCAGCAAATGTGAACAGCTAACCTCACTGAATAACTATGTAAGAGGAAAACTTAAGGTGAACCCATATGACTATTTGACATATAACTATTACCTTTTGTATCTATAGTACTCCTCTCGAGCTATACGAAGATGGCGCCTAAGCGTCGCCATTGATTTCTCATCTGTATCATAGTCCATGTCATTTTCACCCAATCGTCCTCCTTGAGGTTTGAAAGATGGGTCTTCTCGGAACTGCATGAAGATGCAAAGTTTATAAATAAAATGCCAATAGATGAATAACTTCAGGTTTTGGTAAATTAGGAATGCATAGGTCATATAAGTACCAGTTCCGCTATCATATTGTCAATGACATCCATACAAGGCCTCAAAGGATCACGTCTAGACATCTGCTTTGATGTTGCTTGAGCAACCTAAAGATATTCATCACACGAAGGTGTAAAAAACAATTAGAGGAAATATCAAGGTCAAGAAATAACATATTAAATTCTATGTAAAGAAAATCTTATTAAAAACTTAATGGTGTGTTTAACTGGAACAGAAGATATTTTAACAGATAGAGAATCCTCCCGTACTATGTGTGTCCAGATTAGTTCAATATCCTAGTCTCGGCCTTTGGTTCAGTGAAAAAATCTAGAGAGAATTACCCAAATAGGAGCAAAACATAGGCAAAATGCAAAAATAGGAGTACCATGTTTTGAATAGGAGTAACTTTAATGTTTGGACAAGTATACCCCTACCCAAGCCTCAACAACTTTTAATTAAATATTTAATTCATAATAAATTCGAAAAAAATTCAAAAAATCGTAGAAAAATAATTAAAAAATATATAAAATATTAATAAAATAAAAAATTTTAAAAAAATATTTATTTAAATTTTTTATTTTTTTAAAAAAATTAATAGAAAATAGTAAAATCCAAAAAAAAAAATTAAAAAAATATGGATTCCTTTCCCACCGCCTGTACTACCTCCCTGCACCACCACCTCCGGGCGGTGAAAAAAAATTCCATTTTCCTAAAAACTGTCTTTTTTCGGAAAATGCCAAAAACATGGCATATTTCTCTTTGCGAATGCCAACATTTTCATTGTTTTCGACCATAAATATGGCATTCGTAATGAACTTGGCATTTTTTCCCATGGTGACTGGAGGTGGTGGTGCTGAGGCGGCGGTGAATTTTATTTTATTTTTTTGAGTTTTTATTTTTTTAAAAAAAATATAATTTTTTTATTTTTTGAAAAATAAATAAATAAATAAATTATTATCGAATAAGTCATAAATTAACTAGGTTATGATTAAATAAGTCATATTTTAGAATTAACTAGGTTAGGGATATTAAGGGTACAAAATTAATGTTTACTCCTATTGAAGGAAGTTTTAGGTTTTACTCCTATTTGTGCAATTATGTTTATATTTACTCCTATATTGGGCAATTTCTAAAAAATCTATAGTCCGTATTTAAAAATGTTGCAGGTAAATGCAATAGAGAAAGGGGGCTTACTGAATAATAATGGTATTGTCTAAAATGATTAAATAAGGCTGTTGCACTTCTCAAAAAATATTATAGAAAACAAGAACAAAAATATTATCAAACCATAAAAAGTTTAAAACAAGCAAAAAAACTGCTAGAGAAACAAAGAGCTGGCACATTTTATACTAAGGGGTGAAGTTCAAAAGTGTAGAAATGTCATCAAATCATAAAGAGTTTAAAAAACAGACAACACATATAATTTATTCGGCTGGACTATCCGTTATCTGAATCACAGTTGGGACTTGGGAGTCTCCAAGAAACATTATATTTGTTGCCTGTGTATTATAAATCATTTTGCTATATAGCCACTCTTTGAAGAAGCTAGAAACTCACTCCGCCCAAGTGAGAAGATCTGGGAAATGAATTTGAAGCTGGTATTAGGGGTATTTATATATTCTATCCATATTTGCTCCATTTTTTCAAACAATTAATTAACCATGCAAATATGGGGCTGAGATTTGCATGTGCGATCACAAAAGATAAACCAAAATAGAGAGTCCTCAAATTATTGAACATTCTCATTTCATACATTGGTGATTGCATTTTATATTTTAGAAATAGCTTGGAATATAACTACATAATGAAGGTTATTTTTTCTCTTCTTTTACGGTCGCCAAGAAATTTTATTTGTGGGTACTGAAGATGTTTGATAATACACTATATTATTACAACTGTTGTGTAACTTTGTAAAAATTCATACATTTCAGGCACATACGTGATTTGTGCCTATGCATTCTAAAAATCATAATTTGGAGTATAACTTTGTATTTGCAATTATGGGACATAAATTTATGATAGAGATCCAGCTAGTCTAAATATTCAGAATAGATGGTTCGGGCGAGTTTATTCTAGAAGGCCTAAAATAGACTAGCGTGTTATTAGTTGTGAGTTGTTAGTAACTAATAACTACCTTCTGTATGTAGAAGGTTATAAATAGAATATTTCTGCTGTGGGAAGGCAGGCTGTTTTTAGACTAATTGTCTGGGACTGGGAGTTGGAGTTCAATCTCCTTCTTGGGACATTTGTATACGGTTTACCTACTGTGAATAAGATTCAGTTGCTTTCTTTTGTTCTTAACTCTTTTGTGATTGATCCTGGATTTGCGGAATTCGTATCATTGGTATCAGAGACTGGTTGTAGTGGTGAATGGTTGGCACGAGAAAGAAAATGGAAGGGAGAATGAATGACGTTGAGCGTGGTCAACGTGAAATACAGGCCAGTATGGAGAATCTAGCTGCGAATATTGCAGCGATGCAAACTGCGATGCAAGCTAGTATCGCAGAATTACATGTTCAGATGACAAATCGATCTCGGAGTCTGTCGCGCAGATCGAACAACTCTCAGCGAACCACTCATCAGAGAAATTTGCACGATGAAGATAGTTCGGATGATGCAGATAACCATTCCGTCTCGCGACACGACCACGAACCAAGACGGAATCATAGAAATCAGAACAATACGGGAAGAAAAATTGACTTGCCCCTTTTCAACGGAAAGGATGTTTCAGGTTGGTTGTTAAGGATGAACAGATACTTCCGATTGAATCGAACGGAGGATGAAGATAAACTGGATGTGGCGGTCATCGCACTGGAAGACCAAGCTCTCAGCTAGTTCCAATGGTGGGAGGGACAGGCACAACATCTGAATTGGGACTCATTTACACGAGCGTTGACCAGGAGATTTCAACCGGACTTGGTACAGGATCCTTTGGGGCCTTTATTTAGCCTAAAACAGAAGGGATCTATATCTGAGTATAGAGACCAATTTGAGACAACTATTGCATCACAGGGACATTTATCTGAGGAGGTGTTGAAAGGTGTGTTCCTGAGAGGGCTGAAAAGAGATATTAGAGCAGAATTGAAGTTATATCGTACCAGGACATTAGCTGAAGTGATGGATAAGGCATCACTGATTGAAAACAAGAATAAGGAAGCAGTCTTCATGAAGAATAAGGAGGAGAACAAGAAGAAGGGACAGTGCAGGACTATCCTTCAGGCTCCAGGACAGAATTGGAATGAAGGTAGTAAGTGGAGAAGTTATTCGGGACCTATAAGAAATTCCGGTACATTAAATAAAGGGACAACTGATAACAGAAACCATCCTGAAGTTAAAGAAGTTTCTGAAAGGAGACAAGGACCTAGATTATCTCAAGAGGAGTTGTTGGAGAGAAGCAAGAAAGGCTTGTGTTTTAAATGTGGTGAGATTTGGGGCAGAGGTCATGTGTGTAAGATGAAAAACTACAAGATGGTTTTGGTTGAGAATTCTGAAGGGGAAGAAAATTCTGAGATTGAAGTGGAGAAAACAATAGAGGAACTAGCTAATACTACCAGTCAAATGGATAACAAGAACATGCAACTCTCAGTCTTAAGTAAGGAAGGCATATCCTATATGACTACTTTCAAGGTGAAAGGGAAGATGAAATGGTTGGGTGGAGACTCAGCAAGAATATTATATGTTGGATTTGGGAGGAGTGGATATAGTGTTGGGAATGGAATGGCTGACTGGATTGGGAGACATGGAGATGAACTTTAAGCATCAAATCCTTAAGTGGAATCAGAAAGGGGAAACATACATTATAAGAGGTAACCCAGCTGCAAATCAGATGGAGGTAACTTTGAAGACTATGGTTCACATTTTACATCAGGTTGGAGATGGGTTCTTGTTGTACTGTGAAGGGGAATCAGAGAAACTGACTGAGAAGGAGGACATGGAAAATGAGTGGGGAGATTTGATAGCTGAATTTACAGAAGTCTTAAATTCTACACTCAAGTTTCCACCTGCAAGGGAATGTGATCATGCCATTATTATTAAGGAAGGAGCAGATATACCAAATATCAGACCATACAGGTACTCATTTGATCAAAAAAATGAAATTGAGAAGATTATTGCAGAAATGTTGAAATCTGGAATCATTAAACACAGCAATAGCCCCTATAGTAGCCCTATTCTATTAGCTAGAAAGAAAGATGGGGGCTGGAGGTTTTGTGGAGACTATAGGGCTTTAAATAAGGTTACTATACCGGATAAGTTTCCTATTCCGGTGATTGAGGAGCTTTTGGATGAGTTAGGTGGTGCCAGAATTTTTTCAAAGTTAGATCTCAAAGCAGGTTACCATCAGATCAGGATGAAGGCCAGTGATACACATAAAACAGCTTTCAGGACCCATGAGGGTCATTATGAGTACTTAGTTATGCCGTTTGGTCTGACTAATGCTCCCTCCACCTTTCAGTCACTTATGAATGATGTATTAAGGCCTTTTCTGAGAAAATTTGCTTTGGTGTTCTTTGATGATATTTTAGTTTACAGTAAAACTAAGGAAGAACATAAAGAACACTTAAGAATGGTTCTGGGAGCTTTGAAGAAGAATCAGTTGGTAGCAAATCAAAAAAAGTGCTCGTTTGGCCAAAAACAGCTGAGTTATCTGGGACATATAATTTCAGAAGAGGGTGTGGCAGCTGATCCTGAAAAGATTGAGGCTATGAAGAATTGGAATATCCCTAAAGATTTGAAGGAACTCAGAGGATTCTTAGGTTTGACCGGGTATTACAGGAGGTTTGTAAGGGGATATAGCAAGATTGCTGCTCCTCTTACCATGCTTTTAAAGAAGGATGGTTTTGTTTGGAATGAGATGGCTACTGAAGCTTTTCAGAATCTGAAGAATGCCATGATTTCATTGCCAGTTCTAAGAGTGCCTGATTTTAACAAGATGTTTGTGATAGAAACTGATGCTTCGGGGAAAGGCTTGGGTTGTGCTGATGCTGGAAGGAGGCCCTATTGCTTATATGAGCAAACAGTTGTCTCCCAAACATTTGAATAAATCTGTGTATGAAAAGGAATTAATGGCTATTGTTTTTGCTATTCAAAAGTGAGACCTTACCTCTTG